TGTGCTTAAAATTGAGTAAAAAATACAGAGAATAAAAGCCTAGATTTGTGTATTTGTATAGGTCGAGCGTCATATTGTTTATAACAAAAGAAAAAAAATAATTGATCTTCTTTCAGTTTTTCGCTTATATCTCCGAAAATAAGCCTCTAATAGACATGAGGTATACTTATCGATTTTGTTCCTGAGGAAATTTCCCACAAGGATAGGCGTTTGCGAAAGATCGCAACAAAATTTTTTACATTGCAAAATTTGTGGTGAAAAAAAATGCAAAATTTTCAGAATGAACTAAATTGAACAAATTTGACTGAAATTGGATGAAATGAAGCTACAGGAAAAGATAACTGTTGGGGTGCTCAACAAATACCCGCCATCCGGACCCCCAATTTTAAAATGGCGGCCTATTGCAAAATTATAAAGTTGAAAACGCGAGCGCGTATATTTTCTGCCCATGTCAAGATATCGAAATTCGGTAAAAGAGGATCGAAAGGTAATTACATTATCTCGCGTCTGTGTAAATTTCAGATTTTTAAGTTTAAAAATAACAAAGTTATTAACAAAAAAAAACAAAAAAAAAGCGGTATCTAGGGTTCTTATCTCGGCGATTTTTTAATATACAAATTTCAAACTAATTGCATCAAATAGTTCTAATTTGCCCGGATTATTAAGATTAAGGGAAAAAGCACAGTCGATAAAAAGTTTTGCTAGTATTTAAAATGGGGTTGCTATGGAAAAAGTACATTTCATGTACCTACGAGGTGTCCAGAAAATTAAAAAAATATGAAAATATAAACTGAGCTTATTGTCGTTGTGGCAAAATTGGCCCACTTTGATAATTTACAAATTTACATGGTTAGAATCGACACAGCGTTAAAATGTGGGAGAACTGAAAATGTAAGTAAGAAAAAGAATATGATGGAATTACAAATTACGGCAAAATTTGTTTATTAAAAGGTTGCAGAGGATATAACTGATATGAGGAAAAAGTCAATTACCCCGTCATGAGAAAGAAATATTGTTTATATAAAATTTTGTTTGTTTAAAATAAGAATTATTTAATCCATAGCCCAAACATTTTTCAGAACAGGGTCACTTTTGAAACCACAGAGGCAAAAAAAACTAGATATTCTACCGTCACTGAATGAATATCTTATGATGTTACCAAGGAGACGCTCAGAAACTTAGGAGTTGTAAAAAACTCTCACATAAAAAACAAAATAAAATTCTGCCACAACCCAGTTTTCAACCACACTTTAGTGGCAGGCGGCGAAACGAAACTCCTCGATTTTTATCTGTGGATTGGAATTGAAAGAAACTTTCATCAATAGGTTATGTTTTCGGACGAATCTATTTTTTCTACAAATAGCATTGTTGTTTTGCAACATTTGCGATATTAGAGTGCCGAGAATCCTCGTTTTAGAAAATCAAAGCAACATCATTTCAAAAAAGTAAATGTTTTGTGTACGATTTCCTTTTATGGGAATAATAGGGCCATACTTATTTGAAGATACATCCAACAGGAATAAGTAGCTGAATATAGGTACTCCAAACGCTTTTCACTAATTACGAGGCATGTCCACAGAGTATCGAGACTGATGCTCTGTGGTTTTTGTTTAAGTTGGCATTCAAGGCCAAAGTGTTGGGAGCAGAACACACGTTAATTTGTCTCAGTCACTTGAGAATTGTTGTTGTAGTGGCGTGTTGAAATGAGTGCCACTATTCCGAATTCCGCCAGCTGAGAGGTGAGGAGCGTTTCTTCTTGCAAAGCGGGCAGTTTTATAACGAAATCGAAACTGTTTATGGGAATGGTGTGATGAATCGTATTATTGTGGACAAGTAGTGTTGTGAGTATAAAGCTGACAGAACGAATGTTCATGATAAACAAAGGAGTAGTCAGATCAAAGGAATGCTTTGTGACGACCGTCGATTTGCTTTGGACGAGACGAACGCAGTGTTTCCACAAATCTCCAGAATTCTTCTGTATGAAATCATTACTGAAACACTTGGTTATCGAAAATTGTGCGCGAGGTGGGTACCAAAACAGCTGACGGGTCAACAGAAAGTCAACAGAATCGCATCTTTACGGAAATTTCTCAAGCGCTTCGAACTGGAATTTCTTGACTGTACTGTAACTGGCAATGAAACACCCTTGAGATGAAATGACAATCAATGTTGTGGCGATCTCCGTATTCACATCAGCGAAAAAATTCAAAACCATCGTTTCGACTTGAAAAATCATTGCAGAATTATGGGACCGTAAAGGGATTCTCCTCATTGAGTTTTTGTCCCAGGGGGGATAAATTAATGCTGTGCGGTACTGTGAAACCCTGAAAACATTCCGAAGGGCAATACAGAACAAAAGAAGAGGAATTTTAAAGAAGAGAGTATGCTTGTTGTATAACAATGCAGGTCACCGCACAGTCAACGCCTCAAAGCAACTATTCATTCGGTTGGAACATCGTAAGAAGAGCGCCAGAAGAAAGGGCCCTAGACGGCGGGGCCCAGCCAGGACAAAAGGAGGTCCCACAAAGCGCCTACACCGGCCGCATTTGCGGTCGGGGTAGACGACGGATGGGGCCCACCTACGAAGGCTGTCCAGGCCNAGAAAGGGCCCTAGCCGGCGGGGCCCAGCCAGGACAAAAGGAGGTCCCACAAAGCGCCTACACCGGCCGCATTTGCGGTCGGGGTAGACGACGGATGGGGCCCACCTACGAAGGCTGTCCAGGCCTAAACGTGATGAGGCAGGATAAAGAGGGATAATCCCCCTCGATCCCAAATCATTGAGGCCAATTTCTAGCCATGGAATAATGGCGCGCGGGTGGAACGTCAGCAGCCACCCCGCTCACAGCCCCGACCTGGCACCTCCTGATTTTCATCCTTTCTCTTCTCTGAAGGTGTTTATGGATAGAAAAAGGTTTTCTATCGACGGTAGGTTCACAGTGCCGTGATACAATGGGCCCGAGAAGGGGCGGGTGATTTTTTTTTGACGAAGGTATCAGAAAGCTCATCGCTCGGCTTAGAAAGTGCATTGAGGTTGAAAGCGACTAAGTCAAAAAATAGGGTTTGATGTACCTTTCTGAATATATAAAAAAACTGCCGTTTCGATTTTTAAAAAATTGAGTACTATGGATATTCCTCGTAACCGGAAAAATTACCACTGGTTAAATTCTTTTTACTTTTAACAAGATGGTTTTCCGGCGCTTTCTGTTTAAATATTGCATCAAATTTCTGTAGTCTTAAAAAACTCAAAAACCGTCCACTTTTGTGTAAATAACTTTGAAATATCAAATTTTAGTAGTATTTACCCAACAACTTCAGTTTTAACCTGCCTGTGGTGCTTTTAGGTAACTCCAATTTTTCACCTCTAACTTCATTTACGAATACGTTTCGAAAATATTAGAAGAAAACCATATTCAAGGTTTATATTTGAACACATGCTTATGAGGTTTTATTCATAAAATCGCCTTAGCAATCGCCAATAAATATACCACAGTGATGATGCGCCACTGACGCGGCCAAGCTACTAAAAAGCTCGTAAAAACCTACGACTTCCTGACCTATTTGCAGTTTATGTATTCGACTGACATGATAACCCCGGCGGTATCATTATTATACTCCTAGATCCAAATGGGAATATAGGTACCAATTAAGTCTGAGATAATTACAAAATACGTTTCATTCAAATTTATAGAGTTAATATACCATTCAATCTATGTCACATTCCACCACAACACGTGTTAATATACTATATATTCAAATGAGACTGGTGCTGGGATCCTGTTTAGAATGTAATGAAGTATTATTTTATATTATGTCAAGAGTGAGAAACCGAAAGAGTAAAGTGCTTAGCATGATTGACAAAAGGAAAATTGTATGGAAATCTTACATCAGAACTGAATTCTTATAAAAATCCAAGTACCCAAAGATCTACAGAAGGCAGTTTAGATGAGAAAACCGCATAAAAATTAATTATTACCAGTTCTGTGCAAGATATGCAACAGTCATAATGATCAAATAAACGATACAAACTCGGTTGTATGGCAATTTATTTTTATGATGGTTTCGTTGCCTAAATTCCTTCGAAGACCAAAACGTAATATTCTACGTGCAAATTGCCGCTATTGCGAAATTATACGTCTCTGGTGCTAAATTGAATCCAAATATAATTTCGGGACCCCACAGAAGCAGGTGATTTGTACGGGCAGATGCCGAAATTGAAATTAAACTCGAACTTATTTACAAAGATATTTGATAACTGGAATAATGGTGACGTACGATGTTCTCTTAATACTATACAAAAAACAGAAGTAAACACGAACGCAAATTAATCGTAAATGTAATTTGAAGAGCATACTGCACAGAACAACGACATATGCGGGCATATACCTCGAAAAAAGGTTCTAGGAAATATTTTGAACAATTTCAATTATGTACTAAGAAATAAACGGACAAATAAGGAATCTGCAATTGCTGCGTCAAATTGGATTTGTATTAGATATTTATTAATTCATAGCAGTTTACAGTACAGTAGCCAAAGGATTATAGATCCTACGGCTCGCGTTAAAATTACTTGTTTCGTTTCTTAACCGTCATCTAAAACTCTTGTGTTTCCTTCATTGTGAAAATTGAATTATCAGAAGATTTGTTTTTCAGATTTAAATAAATATTTACGTATAGGAAATTTTTTAGAGAGCCGCACAAATATATTTATTGAAAGAAACATGTAACATTAACGATTTAAAATAATCATGTAATTCCAAACACAAATATTTAATTGCCGAAAGCTAAATATTACTACGCTACTTATTGTCACCGGGGCATGTAAAGTAGAACAACATCAGCCATTACTGTGCATGGTATAAGGTGTTTGTTTTTATTAAAGAAAGTTGTGTTTAATTCAAAATTGTTAGTAGTGTTTATTTGTTCCTTTTTTACTTTCCTTCCGCCATACGGTTTAATAAAACAAGTTCGAGTATAATAAAATTACCAAAATAAAAACTTACCCTCCAGGTGAAAGAGGTGTTTTATCGTCGTTATTACTGTTGCTCTCTTGGTTACTCCCTCTATGTCCTCGGTTATGCCTACTGGCCACTGCTTGTCCTGATAAGAACCATAAGGCCAGAATATACCCTACCACCCTCATCTGGGGTCTTCTGAGCCCACAAAGGGGCATGCTTTGAAGTTAACGTCCTGGAACAAAAAAAAAACTGAGCCCAGGAGCTAATAAATTTTCGACAGGTTCGTAAGAAAACAAGAACTGAGATATGATGTTTTCTCCCCTCACATATGTAATGGGGAACATGAATAAGTTTGGTCGCAAACTTATTACATCCATATATATCAATTATAGATGATTGACCCTAGCCTACTATTCGTGACAAGCGACTTGTGTTAACCCCTTTGAATTATTCAATTAGAAACAGTTCAATACTTGTACGAGATCTTTGATCCACGCAGTACATACTATGCGATACATTTATTAATAAACACTTGGGCATATTTACGAGACGTTGCTGATTGATAAAATAAAAAATTAACGGAATTACACGAATCTCCGTTCGTAAGCAGTTAGTTAAATGCAAATTAACAACTCCGAGAATTCGAAGAATGCACTAATCCTAGATTAATATTATTATTATTCAGTTATGTATATTTTTATTTGTATAGTCGGAATTATGAGATTAAAAATGCGATAAAGTCAGTAGGTATAAATGATTACCGACAAGACCTTTTTGGGGAATATTTTCTACAAACAAATAAATGTGTACAACCAAAAGAAACGCAGGTTTCCATATGAGGAAAAAATATTAATTAAAAAATTGGAAAAATTTTAAAGATATATTAAAGGGTAGACATTGCCACCGGACAGATGTCCTGTGCCACCCATTTGGCATATTCGACTACTTTTAAGAAAATTTTTATCTCGCTTTCACATATCAATGGCTGAAGTAGCCAAAGCAATATATTCAGCTGAACGGCCAGTACGAGGCCGGACTATTTTTTTATTGTCTGCAACCGAATAAACTAATCCCTTCAAAGTTGTTTCATTCGGGGCTTTCCTTCCATCGAAACTTCCAAGTAATTTAGGCACAGTCTCAGCTACACACTCTCCGCACCTAAATGGCGCACAATTCAAATCCTGCGTTACTTTTGGGACACCATTTACTATTTGGCCTATAAAGTTACAAACGTAATAAATAATTCATTAAACGCATTTGCAGGATTTACAACATCATCGGGGAACAATAAAAAAATCCTTTCTCAAAAGAACGCTGTTTCAATGGCAGGCAGAAGAAACAAGTCGCGAGGTTACGTAAGCGACATAATGGCTGCATTAGATTAACGTAGTGCATAGCACTTCAAACGGACATATTTTCCATACGCTTAAGTATGCTTATTATGCTGTTATATATGTAAACGGTTTAAGTTATGACTGCTAATTTACACACACATCCATTCTGTAAAAAAAAGTGAATATAATTTGAATCTTAAGCGGCCGAACCTTGAATGAGATTATGTAAGTGAGCGGTTTTGCATATTCCTTCGATTTAATATAATTGATACTGGAGGAGATGTACTACTGCGATAGATAGGAATTTTCAGTTCTATACAAAGTAACACAAATACATTAATTACGCTATAAAAAAAAGAGATTTTGTTTTATTTAAATCGCGTAAAATTTAAACTTAGAAGGTGGAAAAGATGCAAAAAATCAGAACTTAACACCAATAGAGTTGCAACACTCTATAGAGGGCATTCTTTAATTCGATTGTCAAACTTCTACAGGGTGTCAAAACTTGGTCAAAATCGTCACGAGAAGTTGAAATCGCTTAGGGGTTAATTCTGACTTATTGTGAAGATATAGTATTATAGTGAATAAAAGGAAAAACTTTTTATTTTACATTTTACGGAAAAAACCAAGTTGATAAAAAAAATTTTGCTTATGTTTAAAATGAGACTGCCATGAAGAAAGCTAACATTTCATGTATGGGGTGCCCAGAAAATTAAAAAGATATGAAAATTTAATTACCCCTTTAGTATTAACATTTCGAAAAAGCTATACTTAGCAAAAGGCATGGGAAAAAGTTACTTCAGTAGCTTTAATTCTTTAAAAAAGGCAATACATTTAGAAAAAGTATGATAAAACACTATTAGAATACTCCTTCAACAACGTCTAGACATATTTGAAGACGAGCAGGGAATTGCTTATAGCTTCGTTTAAAGATATGGATTTACAGCTTCCCTAATACGAGGTTTTAGCTTGTCGATGATATTATCCAAAGGTATGTCGTATACAATCTTTTTGAGTTGGTCTCACAAATAAATATCCATGATTGTTAAATCTGGACACCGTGAGGGCTAAGGTATTATGTAAGGACGTCTGCACCAGGTATTTTTTGTTGAATTCTTGTATTACTTGGTGACAAATAGGGATCGGAAATATTATGGCGGTTGCAATGTGAGACAGGATTGGCGGGGTTCTGTTTTATGTAATTTTATTCAAACAAAAAGTGACACAACCGTTGCCTTCTTATAACTGTACTCTTTACATTATGAGAATATACCTATGTAAGTTTTTTGCAACTATTTACATAATAGTATGAAACAAAAAAGGGAGTGTCATTTTTCTACACTAAACGCTTAACATGTAACTTACCATAAAATATACATTGTGGAACAGCCAAATGGAATAAATTCAGTATTTCAAGTATTGTGCATATTTATAAAAAATCCCGAGACCCGTCGATTTTGGATTCTGAAATGATAACCTGCAACGTAAAAATTTCATCCCTAAATTCAACCCCCTTCGAATGGCAGTTACATCCCCTAAATTTTTAAACGGGAAGTAAGGGCTTGTGATACCTTACTTGAAAGGTATTTTCATTCTCTATTCAAAAATTCTATGGATTTAATATTTATTGCAAAAATTAGCGGTAAAAAATAAATTCATGAGTTAGTTAATTTCAACGTTAATAAAAATGTCTTTTAACGTTTTCCAACATCTAAGGCGTGACCGACCTGATCGCAACCATATCTTTTTTTTTCAATAAAATTGTCTATGAATAATTTTGATAAGTCTTTATATCTTCTTTTTAGTTGAAAATATTGAAAAATAACACTGACATTGTTTTTGCTGGCCTGCAAGAATAAACGCAGTTTTCTTATTATTGTAACAAATTTCGTTAAGCAGACCATTATTATTTGCAATAAATATTAAAACCATAACATTTTTGAATAGGCAACGAAAATACATTTCAAATGAGGTATCACAAGTTTCTACTTCTGATTTAAAGAATTAGGGGATGAAATTTTTACGTTGCAAGATGTCATTTCAGAATCCACAATCAACGCGTCTCCGGATTTTATCCCACTGTATAGGTATTTACGTAATAATAAGTACCATTACTCATAAGGGAAGCGATTGTAGAAAAAAATTAACGGTTGCCCTAAATGTTCCGCATTTAATCGTCTTCACCGATCAGTAAAATAAGACCCATTTTCAAAACCAAAATGACCGTTCAACATTTACCGAGATCAATATCTAAAATAGTGGAAGTTTTTAATAGATGCTATTTTTACTAATGGTAATTAACACATTCACATTTTAGTAATCGCACTGTACCGCGTCATTGTACAATAACATGCACATGCCTGCCTTTGATCTGAAGCTTGGCATCGATCAATTTATTCGATATCTATCTAGCACCACCCTAATGCCTGCCCTGTCGGCAGCATTTCATTATCATCTGTGCGAGTGTGACTTTGACTCTTTGCTCGGTCGAGTGTATGGTACGTGTTTCTATAACAGTCAGTAGCATTGTGTATCGTGTGCATAGAGCGGCACACGGCTTGACCATGGATTTAGCCTATTTCTGCTACTACAACGCGTATTGTCGCTTATTAGCATAGTACAGATTACTATTGTTTATTTATTTGATTGACACCACAAAGTTTCCGATGTCTAGTGATAAATATTATAATTCTTACAATAATTGCTAATGAGTTTTTTAAACAGTGACACGAGTCACAACCTACTGTTTGAAGTAATATGAAATACTGTCAAGTTCGATCACAAGCAAAGTTTCCCATAAAAAGTATTTCTTTCCCGTAAAGGAGAGTTTTTCCTCATATCAATTTTGCAATAACTAAGAATTTTATAATATTTTTTTCATCCTTCATACTCCACTTTTGAATTTGGTTGTCCTCACTCTATTGTGAGATCTGAAACAGCGGGACAGAAACGGGTACACCTATTTTAACGACCTAATACCTACCGCTAATGCGTTATTTTGGACATTACTCTTCGTCGCTGGTCCGTACGCCTAATAAAAAACCAATAAAAGTCCAATTCACGGTTATAATAAGAGTTTCTATATTTACAAGTGCCCATTATCTATAAATACCGGGCAAAGCAGTCTCAACGCGGACCGTAGAAGACACATCACTGTTACCTCAATGAGTATTTTCATTATTTAAAGAAAAATAGGGGCTATTCTTAGACGGGTCCATGCAGCAATAGTAGACGAGGTTGATTATTTACTTTCCGTTTCGCTTCTCGAAAGACTGGCGGCGGATTGACGTGGACAGGTTGCTATGATGATCGCTCGGTGGCAATTACATATTTTGACGAATTAATTTTCAGTCTGGCTCTGCAGGAAGTCGAAGTTATCGTTTCCATCGTTTTGACTGGAATGATGACAGTGTGATTAGAAGGAAACTAAAGATTTATTTTAGACGCTTGTATTTCGAAAATTGTTAACAGAAGAGAGTAATTGCAAAACTAAGTGCCAATATAAGAAAAAAATTAAGAGATTAAAAAAACATGTTATTTAATAAATTATTAATGAGTTGCATTGTTCATATTTGTCAATTTTTCCAAGGAACTCCAATTTATTTCATTCACGGATAACATGATTATGTATTTGAATAATTTTAATTTTTATTTAAAAAATAATTTGATATTTTTCACATTTTTTAGCAATAGTTATCTAAACATGGTTTAATAAACTATTCTAGCAACATGCAACAAAAATACATTTTTATAACGCCTCTAGTAATTTATCATAATAGTGAGCCAAATTTCAAAATGCTTGTATGGAAAAAAGTTTGAGCGAAAATAACTAGTTCATCCCAAAAATTACGACACAAACCTGGATGATAATGCACATACATTTGTGGGCAATAAAAAT